AAAAGTGCAGTTCATGCTATCAATCAAGTTTAGGCTCCTTGTGTGTCAGACATAAATAACCATTAACAGCTAATCCTCCAAACAGGCTCTGAGTGTTCCTGAACAATCAGTATATTGCCTCTAGCTGGACTCATCCTTCTCCTACAGTCATGAGTCATACTCACCGCTGACATAACCGGCCTGTCAAATATCAAGATCAAGTGCTCGTAACCCAAGAGCAACACAGATTAACGCTTTAATGCTGAGGCAGAGAGCAGCTGTGTCTGCCTTGTAATGAGGTTTCCTTTAATAACCAATGTGAAATGACCATTTTGAGCAAGCAAACATAAATAGAGACACTGCAAAAAGGGGATCCTCTCAAGTGAAATGAGCTTAAATCTAGTCAATATACACTGATCAGGCATAACATTACGACCACCTCCTTGTTTCTACGCTCATTCTCCATTTTATCAGCTCCACTTACTATATAGGTGCACTTTGTAGTTCTACAGTTACAGACTGTAGTCCATCTGTTTCTCTGATACTTTGTTAGCCCCCTTTTACCCTGTTCTTCAGTGGTCAGGACCCCCATGGACCCTCACAGAGCATGTACTATTTGGGTGGTGGATCATTCTCAGCACTGCAGTAACTCTGACATGGTGGTGGTGTGTTAGTGTGTGTTGCGCTGGTCTGAGTGGATCAGACACAGCAGTGCTGCTGGAGTTTTCAAACACTGTGTTCACTCATTGTCCACTCTATTAGACACTCCTGCCTTGTCGGTCCACCTTGTAGATGTAAAGTCAGAGACGATAGCTCATCTGCTGCTGCACAGTTTGTGTTGGTCATCCTCTAGTCCTTCATCAGTCACAGGACGCTGCCCACAGGACGCTGTTGGCTGGATATTTTTGGTTGGTGGACTATTCTCAGTCCAGCAGTGACACTGAGGTGTTTAAAAACTCCAGCAGCACTGCTGTGTCTGATCCACTCAGACCAGCGCAACACACACTAACACACCGCCACCACGTCAGTGTTACTGCAGTGCTGAGAATGATCCACCACCCAAATAGTACCTGCTCTGTGAGGGTCCATGGGGCTCCTGACCACTGAAGAACAGGGTAAAAGGGGGCTAACAAAGTATGCAGAGAAACAGATGGACTACAGTCTGTAACTGTAACTCAGTAACTCGTCAACACATCAATGATGTAGCAGCAGTGAACAAATTCAGTGGATTTTCAGGAGACTTTAATAAACTGTGTAATACGATTTGTTTATTATCTGAATCAGCTGTTTTTCACTTTATTTAGAGTCCAAGTTCAGATCTGTAGGTGTTTAACTGAGAGGAACTGAACATTAACAGGTTTAATACAGACCATCAACATCCTCAACCAGCTGATACAGACACACTGACACCATCCTGGACCTGGAGCTTCACTGGATTAGGACTGGATAAGCTTAGGGTTAGGATTAGGGCCAGGGTTAGGGTTGGGTTTTGAGTAATGAAAGTAACGTATTAAGTCTATTTCATGTAATATATCAACAACACATCTACTGAATGTCAGTAATGTATCAACAGAACATCTACAGGATATTTACTTCAGTGTATTCAGAAGCTTCACTACTGCTCCTTCACTGATATGTAGTTGATGTGTTACTGATAATCTATCAAGAGTTTATTAATCATCTACAACGGGCCTTTTGTAATAAAGTGTTACCCTATATTGTTCTATCATAGTATGGGTCAGACTGTTCATGTACAGAACCGGGGAACCACTGATGTTGTTCTGCTCCATGACCCAAGAAATGCAGTGAAGTAAATTCTGTGCCATCTTTCCATTCCTCACAGTTCATAAGCACAAGGCTGGACATATGGGCTCACATGTATTCCTGCACTGCCGATGTCATGATGAAGGGTGCGGTGTTGCCCAGCACTGAGTGGTGGAGTTTTGGGTCCACTAACACACAGCTGGTGACACATGGCGTGATGGCTGGCTGGGCCGCAGGATCCCTCAGGCAGAGAAATCTAGAGCCAGTCCAGAAAAGCTACGCCAGCAAAACCACTCTAGCAGAAGGATTTCAGCACCAAGAGCTGCCCGACATATGGCCACCATGTGGCTACCATGAGTTACGAGAAGAGACATGGCTGGCCACTCATTACACATGCCAGCTAAAGCCGCTCACCGCAGAGTGGACGGACTCCCCTGCACACGGAAATGCTGGGAAACGTTAATGCCAGGACAGAGTTCTCTGCCGGACAGGGACAGATCTTAGGGTTTGGATTGTTTGAAGCCGCTAATATGAACTCTGCTTGTGGTTGCTAGGCTGTTGCTTGGCAGTTGCTATGGTATTTTAGGTGGTTGCTGAGGTATTATTAAGCAGTTTCCATGGTAGCCAATGAGGTTGCTAGGGTGTTGCTTGGCAGTTGCTATGGTATTTTAGGTGGTTGCTGGGGTATTATTAAGCAGTTTCCATTGTATCCAATGAGGTTGCTAGGCTGTTGCTTGGCAGTTGCTATGGTATTTTAGGTGGTTGCTGGGGTATTATTAGGCAGTTTCCGTTGTATCCAATGAGGTTGCTTGTGTGTTACTAGATAGTTGCTATAGTGTTTCAGGTAGTTGATAAGCTTTGGTGGTTGCCATGGTATCCAATGTGTTTGCTAAGGTGTTGCTTGGCAGTTACTATTTTTTAGGTATCTTAGGTGGTTGCTAGGGTATTGTTATGCAGTTTCCATGGTATCCAATTTGGTTGCTAGGCTGTTGCTTGGCAGTTGCTATGGTATTTTAGGTGGTTGCTGGGGTATTATTAAGCAGTTTTCATTGTATCCAATGTGGTTGCTTGTGTGTTACTAGATAGTTGCTATAGTGTTTCAGGTAGTTGATAAGCTTTGGTGGTTGCCATGGTATCCAATGTGTTTGCTAAGGTGTTGCTTGGCAGTTACTATTTTTTAGGTATCTTAGGTGGTTGCTAGGGTATTGTTATGCAGTTTCCATGGTATCCAATTTGGTTGCTAGGGTGTGACTAAAGTGGTTGCTAAGGTTTTGCTAGGTGGTTGCCATGGTATCCAATGTGGTTGCTAGGATGTTGCTTGGCAGTTGCTATGGTAGTTTAGGTGGTTGCTAGGGTATTGTTAAGCAGTTTCTATGGTATCCAATGTGGTTGCTAGGGTGTGACTAACGGGTGGCTATAGTGTGTCTGGTGGTTGCTAAGGTGTTGCAATGTGGTCGCTATGGTAGCCAATGTAGTTGCTGGGCAGTTACGAAGGTGGTTTCTAGGGTGGTGTTGTGTACGGTGACATAAAAGGGGTGTACAAACGTCTGGCCACATAGTTTCTGGCCATTTACTTCACTGGGGAAAAATCAGACTTTGAATGGTTGCTACGTGGAAAACCATACGTCCAATTAAAAAGTGGTATAAAAACTGATCTCACAATCAGACCAAACATGCTGGTCCAGTGCTGATATCTTCAAAACTGTAGGACAAGTTAGCAGTCCAAAATCCAGCGGAAACATTTCATTGGCATCATACAGATGATCAGATTTGACTGATATTTCAAACTGACATCTGATGATGTGTTTATAGAAGTTGTGTTTGAAAGTTTAGGTGGTGTTGGGTTACTGAACTATAAGATCTGCATTTCATTCATTTTACTGCATTTGTACAAAATGTTAAACGTTATATTTCTCTGTAATCCTAATCCAGATGGATTTAGTCCCAATTTCTACATTCTATAAATATTTATGTCTCAGCGTTAGCAAAACTAAACTAAACTACTCATGTCGACTCCTCTCTCTCTCTTGCACTTGAAGCTGATGAGGAAGATGGTGCTGAACGTGAGCTGCCCTGCAGACAAGACCTGCTCATTTCCCCTCTTTTTTAAACCCTATATTTCCATCATGGTTTCAATGTAACCACAATCTCAACATCAACAAACACTGGCGTTCTGTGCACTTGCCTTCATGGCTTTTTGCTTAGCTCTTGTGTAAGTGTGAGTCCTCACAACGGTCAGTACATGGTCAGACATGGTTTTTCACTCCTTGTGTGCTGTTAAGAGTGTTTAACATCTTCACCTCACTCGTGTCCACAGCTGATGTCGGGTATTAAAGTGAGAGCAGGTTGATTCCCAGTGGTCACACGGTTTCCAGCCTCTGCCATGTTAGTGTGGAAGTCTAGAGCAGCTCTAACATTCCTCTGCCTCAGCTTCCTCACAAGACCACATTAAACTTTAACGCAGCTATTTTGGTCCAAATTCAGAGCAGCAAAAGTTCAGAGTCTCATAATCAACCTACAACCTAATTTCTATCTGCTGCATCTGTAGAATATGATTGATTACCATGGTCAATAATCTTGATGTTTCCCTTTGAAAAGCACATTTATGATGGAAGCCAATGGGGAGGAGATAAAACATCATCCCATTGGTTTCTATTATGAGTATATTTTGAATAAAGAGGCTTTCTGATCTGATATGATAAATACAGGGAAATTACAGTCCATGTTAACTGGCAATGTACTACAGATGCGGCAGACAGACATTAGAGCTTCTACTTAAAAGCTCAGTAAACAAAGCCATCACTTTACAAGTGCCCAAAGACCAAAGAAGTACCAAACAAGATGAGTAAATGGTGCCCTGGGCTCTATTTGTCTATTCTGAAGCTGAAGGTGTGCCATTTTGTACATTTGCAAATTGGCTTAATATAATAATAATAACAATTAGCAAGGCCTTGAACTGAATTCCGAGTCTTAGAAGAGGGAAATGCTAGTTTCTACAGAGCTGTGACCTGAAAGGAACCAAGTCTGACACATAAGTGCCAAACCTTTATTATCATTATTATTATTATTATTAGTAGTAGTAGTAGCAGTAGTACCACTAAAATTATTAGAATTAAAATAATAATAATTGTCTACTAAAGCACCTAATAATTGCCTTAATAAGTGCCTTTATGGAGTGTACAAATATACATTATCATAAATAAAAACTTCAACACACTAATTTTCTTTTGCCCAGTGTTAGCCCGTCCCGTACTTACGGTTTCTGGGTTTGTCATCGTCCAATCCCTCATCGTCGTTCTCTGGGTCAATGTCCTCTGCTTGTGTGATCCAGTCCAGGTAGCCCTTCAGATCCTCCTCAAGCTGCTGCTTTTCACGTAGCTTCTGGAAATCTCCACGCGCCTTCGCTTTCTCACGCTCTTTAGAGAACTCTCTGAGCCACGGAGGAGATGAAGGAGAAGACAAAGAAGAGAGAAAAAGAGAGACATCTGAAAATCTTTACAATGTAAACAAAACATCTGCACACCTCTGGACAACACCTACATACACACACGCACACAGTCCAGCAGTTCAGAAAAGTGAGAGAAATATCAGAGAAGGCAGAGATACTTTATAGATGCACTGAGGACCAGTTGTACTAAGCCTTTGCAGCAGGTTAAAAGCACAAATAGGACACATCCTGCCTGAGAAATCATGCGTGATATGTACAAAAGTGGTGTACGACCCTAACAGCACCATGAACCTCAATTCGACAAACCTCAGTTCCAAAAAAAATGTTGGGACAGGGAAAATTTAAGACTAGAACATTATATAATCTTCAAAAACATCTTAAAAAGGAAAGGCAATCATGCTTGGATATAAAAGGAGTGTCCAGGAAAGGTTGAGTCCTTTATGAGCGAAGATGGGTCAAGGCTTACCATTTTGCCAAAATGTGTATCACCGAATAATCCAACATTTTAAGAATATAATGTTCCTACTTAAAAACTGTGATGTTTCTGTGATGGAGATCACCACATGGGCTTAGGAATACTTTGACAAGCCATCAATAAACACTGTTCGTCGCTGCAACCACAAATGAAAGTTAAGACTGTACTGTGCACAGCGGAAGTCAAATATCAACAACATCCAGAAACACCGCCGACTTCTCTGGGCTCAAACTCTTTTGAAATGGACTGATGCTCAGTGGAAATGTTACCAGCGTAAAGTTCAAAAGTCAGGGTTTGTCATGGTGTCGGGGGTATTAGTGGGTAACCTGCTTATCTGTCAAAGCTCCATTAAAGCTGAAAGATACATATTTTGGAGAAATATTTGCTGCCTTCTGGACATCGTCTTTTTCAGGGATGTCCATACTTATTTCAACATGACAGCAAGAAACATTCTGCACGTGTTACAACAGCATGGCAGTATGATTGCACAGCTGAAGATAATGGAAAAATGCAAAAATTCCACTTTTCAAACTGGATAAGTTTGTGTATTTAGTCCATAAATGCTTATTAATTGCTGTCAAAAGGAAAGGTGATGTAACTCAGTGCTGAACATGCTCCCATCCTAAATATTTTGGAATGTGTTGCAGGTGTCAAATTTGGAATGAGTATATATTTATGAAAAATCATAATGTAAAACGACAACAAAATATTTTTGTTTTAAATTTAATACAGGTCAACCAGAATTTACAAATCACTGCTTTCTGTTTTTTATTAACATTTCTTACAACTTTTGGAACTGAGGTTTATAGAAAAGTGCCAGAAATATTAAAGTGGGCAGAGCTGCCTTGTAGATACTCAGAGGGCCAGTTGTGCTAAGTCATTGTGCCAGGTTACCAGCACAAACAGGACACATTCTGTCCAAGAAAGCATGTATGAAAGCCTAAATATGCAGTCTATGTACCGAGAACATGGAAAAGTGCACAATATTTCTCTCCATCTTTCATATCACACAAAATGTGGGAGGATCGTACAAATATGGGTGGCGATACTGGAATTGCAGTCGATTAAACAGAAATGTCATCAGCCAGGTTTGGGTGAATTTTCTCCACCTTATAAAACCAGGATATAACTTTCTTTCTTATGTTGTTCAGATTTCTTTTAAATGAATATTCCATTGATTTTCAGTCTAATCTCTCTCTGCTGCATCTGTGGCATACAGTCAATTAGCACAGACATTAATTTCCCTGTACAGGAAGCCTGTACACTCAAAGCACTGTAATAATGAAAGCCAATGAGCCGATTGCTCTGTTCTTCTGTTAAGTGCAAGGAAATGCATCAAAATTACTGTCCATGGTAACTGACCATACGATACAGATGGACTAGAGAGAGATTAGGCTGAAAGACATTGGAGCATTCATTTAACAATGGCAGCAGATATAGCAGCTCGACTGAATAAGATAGAATAAGATAGAATAACATTATTTCAGAATAAGATAGAATAACATCTATCAACCCTCAGAACTCCTACAGAGTTCGACTAGTGACTGCGATATTGGTGTTAATTTTTAATTTCCCCGTTACTGTTTCCCAAATTGTACAGTATTTTTGTGGGAAAGAAAGTTTATTAACGCTGCTACCCTTTTATCACTTTATTGCACTTTCTCTTCTGTCCTCAGCTTGTTGGTGTGTATTTCAGTGCACCATTTAAACCCGGCGCTTCACGAGTCAGTAAGTTGGTTAGTGCAGTTAGTAGGTGGTCCAATGCAATTTGTGTGAACAGCTACAGTCGTAGTAAACAGAACATAAACTGCATCAAGACATGTTATCACTCGCCTTATGAACATCTGGCCCTGAAATATCTTCACAGGTTTCAGTTAAGAACAAAATTAGCAGCCAAGAACTAGCAATGAGAAATAATGCAGCAGTAGTGGAGGCTGAGTGAAGATGAGAAGTACAAAGAAATATACAGTTTGAGGAACATCTCAGAATAAGAGCAGAGCTGAAAACACTTCTCAAATCACAGTAATTATTGCCATAAATAATAATAATAATAACAATGTCGAGCATGGGTGCCAGAAAGCTGAAATGAGTTGGAAACAAAAAGCGAAGAAAACAGGGTGAAAAGTTTGCAGTGATTACAACATCTCACTGATTTCAAAGATCTGATATGGTCATATGGTCTTATTCAGAGTTTATTAATAATGAAGGGCCTTGAAATTGACAGTTTGCAAATTTCTGGTAAGTCCCGCCTCCTTTAGTTACTGTTGCTATGTGCGTTTCAGCGCAGGCCACCTGGTATCATCCATAGCACTTGTACTTAAAGACTATAAGGGCCGGATTCATAAACCTGGGTGGTAACAGTGCAACACCACGCAAAACGTGTGGCACAGTACACGGTGATTAGCACGTATTTGAGTCCATGTCCTACGCAAGAGCCAATCAAAATCCACATGTAAATGATGTCATACGTATTAAAGACCCGAGTGAATCTCTGATTGGCTGCAAAAAGAAACCAAAAAAACGAAATAAGGAAAAACCAAAATTTTATAAACAAAGCAAATTTTAGAACCGAGCAAATTTTAAGTCATAAGTGCTACAAATAATAGTAAATTGTTTGAACAGAATGCTTTACCTTTGCCACAGTAAATCTGGCGCCACGTTTTATGAATCTGGCCCTAAAAGTTCAGTAGCACAGAGTAAAATTTGGAAGGACACAAAGGAAAACATTTAAAACTTGTTATTATTCAAAAATATGCTGGCTTTATGAAAGGTGAAATAAAAGTAGCAGAGCCCGCTCAATCTGTGTCCTGCCATCAGATATAATGGGGAATTTTACATCTTATTAACATTTCTCTGTAATATTATCCATCATATAACAATGATTTTTAGCAAATACAGTAATCCAGATAAAAGTTTAGCTAACATATCTCCATCTGTTCATAGTTTTCACACTGAGCTGTGGGTTTTTTACCCAAAACTTTATCAGCTTCAGGACACAGCTCCACCCTCCAGATGACCAGGATAGGCACTGTAGTGACACCTTTCCACCATTTCTTACTCTAATCATTCTGAGTGATTTACTGCCGCCGCCGTTCTCACTGCAGGTTTGTTCTGAGGGGTTTTTCATTCACCCGTGATGCACACTGTGATTGGCTGAGAGGCGTGTCTACCATTATTGTGCAAACGGTCAATGAGTGGATGTAGGTTTTATTTTATTATGTCACATCTTTTTTATCTTTACACCTCATTTATCTTACAAGCTGTTATTATAAGAGAGGAAAAGTTAATAGAGCAAGAAAAGAGGTTGAAGTATGTGCAGGAACTGTGATCTGTCTGTCTTAGAGTTGCTAATTTTCCAAAACGTTTAATAAAAAAAGATTTGGGAGCTCTCACCCGGGAATCCTGGGAATCATGCCAAGAACAGATATAAGATTATAAACGCACAAGTGAAAGTGGAGTTAAGGTCCTCTGAGTATTATTTGGAGTAAATGCTCTTTTCTGACCACAGCACATTACTTTTCCATAAAAGGCATTGAAGGTACAAAATCATACAAACTTCTGCACCAGCTTATTCGAACTGTAACCCAGCTGTTGGGTGTAACATCTACCATGTCAGATGATATTACAATTAAAAATCAAATTCATTATAAGCAAGGTGTTTACATGATGAGCTCATGTCCATTTTTTACCTTATATTGCATTTTAGCACTTGTCAAGTGTTTTTAATTCATGTCTTGCATCAGCAGAGTGGTCATTTCCAAATTTCATTAAAATATAAAGTTCAAGGCTGAACTGTGGGACCTCCAAAACAGACAGAAATTGAATTTTATGTCTGCTCTGAAAAAAGGCGGTCCAGTGGTCCAGCATACAGTCCTCAACTACATATTTTGTTTCTAATATTCACCGATCAGGCATAACATTATGACCACCTCCTTGTTTCTGCGCTCATTGTCCATTTTATCAGCTCCACTTACTATACCCCCATGGACCCTCACAGAGCAGGTACTATTTGGGTGGTGGGTCATTCTCAGCACTGCAGTAACACTGACGTGGTGGTGGTGTGTTAGTGTGTGTTGTGCTGGTCTTAGCGGATCAGACACAGCAGTGCTGCTGGAGTTTTTAAACACCTCAGTGTCACTGCTGGACTGAGAATAGTCCACCAACCAAAAATATTCAGCCAACAGCGTCCTGTGGGCAGCGTCCTGTGACCACTGATGAAGGACTAGAGGATGACCAACACAAACTGTGCAGCAGCAGATGAGCTATCGTCTCTGACTTTACATCTACAAGGTGGACTGACAAGGTAGGAGTGTCTAATAGAGTGGACAGTGAGTGGACACAGTGTTTAAAAACTCCAGCAGCACTGCTGTGTCTGATCCACTCAGACCAGCGCAACACACAGTAACACGCCACCACCACGTCAGTGTTACTGCAGTGCTGAGAATGATCCACCACCCAAATAGTACCTGCTCTGTGAGGGTCCATGGGGGTCCTGACCACTGAAGAACAGGGTAAAAGGGGGCTAACAAAGTATGCAGAGAAACAGATGGACTACAGTCTGTAACTGTAGAACTACAAAGTGCACCTATATAGTGTTAATTTAATACAGATGATCATGATAAAATCTATATTTTTAGCTCTGTAGTTTATTTTTTCACAAATATAACTAATCAGAAGTGATGTAACTTCAATTTAAATGATTTTTACACTTACAGGTTGACGACAAGACACCGTAAGTAGGTCTAACCGCTTGCCTTTCCTCAGTTAATAAAATAACATGTTTTATTTATGGAGTAAAGAATTTAATTTAGTGTTCAGCTGGCTCGGTTTGTTGGAAATTAAATGAAATTATGATTCATTTGCTGGACACACAGGCTGGGTGAGTCTGCAGTTTATTCACAGGGGGAGTTATGATTCTTCAAGGGTTCTTTAGTAAAGAAAATGGTTCTATATTGAACTATGGACACTCAAAGAACCCTTTGCATGGTGAAATGGTTCGTCAGATTGACGGAGAGTGTGCTTGATATGGTCCTATACAGAACCTTTTTGAAAAGTGTTCTATACAGCACCAAAATAGGTTCCTCTATTGTTACAGGTTTGACATCGTAACAACAGAAGACCCTTTTCAAAAAGGTTCTAAATAGAACGGTCCACGGCATGTTCTCCATCAATCTGAAAAACACTTTAACAATGCAAAGAACCATTTTATCATGGGTTCTTTGAGTGTTCATGGTTCTATTTCATCCTTTTCAAAAGGGTTCTATATAGGACAATCTATAGCACATTCCATTTAACCATTTAATGATGCAAAGAAACCTTTAATCACACAAAGGTTCTATATAGAACCATTTTCTTTATTAGTAAATGTGTAGAATTTATCAGATTCAAATTTTATCTAGGGAAATATAATGGGACCCCCCAAGTTCAATTTTGTGCTTCTTATGTAAGGTTCCTTTACTCTTATAGGAGGTCCGAGACCCCCTAAATTGCCCCGCACCCCCAACTCAAACCCTGGGTTTAGGTTTCTGTTTGGAGCTTGGGTTAGCTTTAGGTTCAGGGTTCTATTTAATGTAATATATTTGATTAAACTGAATATATTAAATGAAATATATTGTATTTACTAGAATATATCACAGTCAACTTTAAACTCAGTTGTATTTAACAAATATCAATAGAACATCTACAAAGCATCAATAGTGGACTCTCAAAAAACATTACCAATTTAAATATAAATCATATATCTTCATTTTATATGTTTGGTTTCCTCTATTTGTTTCTCTACACCTATAAAATATTGTACTTGGATGCCATGAGGTATCAAGGAACCTTTATTTTTGAGAGTGTATGGTACCCCTGCATGGTTCTCCGCACCTTCGGATGACCTTTAAACTCCACCTCCATCAAGATCTTCTTATCTGTCATTTATTCACATTTATATCATATATAATAAAGTTAATCGTCCTAGTAGAGTTTTTCTTTGAGTTTTGCTTGTATTTTCCAATATAATCAATATACCCCTGTTTCATAGATGTTTTGTATAGACTTTTAGACCCAACCAGCTCACAAAATCTTAAATAATAAGAATACAAAGATCCCAGGAACCCCAAGCCCTGATTAGCAACCCCAGTTCTGTCTGTCTGTCTGTCTGTTCGCATGGCCGTCTGTCTCTTACCCGCTCAGGACCCCCAGAACCAAGTTAAGAACAAAAAATGAGCCAATGATGATTAGTGTAACAAAATAAATCCATGGCCAGGAGTTCCCTACTGCATCATTCACCTGGGAACAAAAGGAGATGGAGAGATGGAGAGATGGAGAGGTAAAAAGAGAGAGAATGAGGGACGATTAGCAAACGACTGCACTGGAACAACAATAATGGGCCTGCCTTTCCACTGTATGTGCTCCTGTTCTCTTTCTCTGCCTCTCTGTCCTTTTCTCCTTGGGGATGAAACCTGTTCCGTCGGTCCAAAGCTTTTTTGTTTCTGATATCTTCTGAGGTTAGAACACACACACACACACACACACACACACACACACGCACACATGCCGCTTACCCGCTCAACACCCCCAGAACCAGATTTAGAACGAAAAAGGATCCAAAGATGACGAGACTGACAAAATAGACCCAGGGAAGCTCATAGCCCATAGCATCCTGCATCTGAAGGAGGACAGAAGCCCAGTTAGGAAAAGAGAGAGAGAGAGACAGAGAGAGAAGGGAGAGATAAGAAGAAATGAGAGCAGCAGCAGAAAAACTCAAAGGGCAGACGAGCTTGAAAGAGGAGGCTGTCTTCTTTATGCAACTACTTGAGGGTCACTTAGAGAACAGTGAGTGGAACAAAGAGCTATAAAACACGACTCCCGCTGTGGCTACAGACAGCAGACAGAGAGCCCACTGGAGAGGAGTACCGCGTGACTCATATCACTGTAACAAGAGTCATTCTTCACTCTTCAGGTGCCTTTCTTAAACACCGGCGATGAGCACTCGTGAGGCACTGAATAAACTCTGTAGTACGTTATTACGGAGGGCTGAGAGGGACGAGCGCTCTGTAGTGTGCTCGTGTAGTGTTCTGCCTCTCCGCAGTGAAGCTCTTTAAGACTTATACTGTACTAACAGTGTGAACTAGCAAACCCTGACAGTGGAAAATAAGTCATATGATAGAAAAGGCTTGTTTATAAAGGAATACTCCAGAATTTGTCAACTTAAAGGGCGAAAAATCATATTTACACAAATTTTTCCTTCTTTATTTTAGCGCTGGAGCTGTAAGTCAATAGTCACCGAAATCTTTCCTCCATAAAACCTCTCTCAACCTGCCCAGACTGCATTCAAACCCCAAATTTCTGCATAATTATCTGGTTAAGATGTAAACAGAGTCATTCGGAGTGGTTTGGTGTGAAATGTTGTGTTGAGAAACTTACCAAGTCAGAATTGTTCACAGTGGTGGTGATAGGAACCAAATGTCCAGCTCTAAAAACTCATGACGACCCCTGGTTCCTATCACCACCACTCTAAAGAAATCTGAACCATTTCACACCAAACCACTCTGAATCACTCTGTTTACATCTCAAACACTGAATCATGCAGAAATTTTGAAAAATGGTTGTAATTCCCCTTTAACCTGGACAAAGGTATGCGTATTTGTCTTGTAATTTCTCGTCTTTCAGTGCGTTTTCTTTTAATGTAAAGAAATTTGAGTATCTACAATCAACCATTTCACACCAAACAACTCTGAATCTCTGTTTACTTCTCAAACACTGATTTATTGAGAAATTTTGAATAATTGGTGGAATTCCCCTTTAAGGTTATGTGTTTTAGAGCTCAGTATAACTTAATGTGAACTACAAAAATGAATAAAACTTCACTGCGTAGTTGAAGTTTTAATAACAGGTGCTGTAATCTCCAATTTAGCATGTCATCCAGGCTTACAGATCACATTTACAATTTCTTTTATTTCTATTCACAGATAACTGCATGTCTTCAACTTCAGAACTGAAAATATAGGTTTAAAATAAAAAACAAGAAACTGCTAACATAATCTAGCCTCCATATACCTGTGTGGAGTACATGCACATTAAGGAGAGTCAGATTCTGTGGGGAGGCAGATTTCGGCATAACACCTGTTGTCTAAAGTGGCCGTCTGCAGCGTTCAGCTACACGGTGAAGTTATGTTAGTCTAAATTTCAAGATTTGTCAAAAGTCCCAAATGTATTTCAGCTCTGACTTTGAACCAGTTCAGTAGAATCATCCAGATGTGATTGATTACGACAGACACGTTTCCTTTTAAATGGTGAAAGAACAAAGAACCATTTCACCCTAATGAAAGCTCCCATTTGCGTCTATTATAAGGGTGTTTTGAGCCTGTCTGTATTTATATTGTACGCTTGAATATTCTTTCAATAAAAAATTTTAAAGCTTGATTTATTAGAAAACTGTTCATCAGTTGAAGGAGCTCAGGTTGAATTTAGAGATGAACAGACACAGCTGGAAGTGTGGAGTGCTTTGAGTTTTTGTTTCACTTGATGCAATAAAATAAATATACACATTTCAGGACGTTGTAAACAAGCTCCATATATGTCTGACCTACTGTAGTAAGACAGGGTACAAAAGGGGCTCTAATGTGCTGACATTTCATTTATTTGAAAATTTTAGTGGGTAGAATGTGGAAAATCATATCCCAGGTGATCGATTGTAGGTGTGTTTCTAAAAAAAAGCTTTGTTTGGTATGTAAACACTGTTTCATATTCCGTATATGGAAACTAAGCTGTGAAAACAGGCTGTTTTAACATCACTGTTTTTGTGATGTCACAAAAAACAGCACAATTAACAACTAACTGCTTATTCACCAGCCTTTAACCCTGAAGACTGGCACAACAGTCTGAGACAACTCTTTTGTCTCATTAGCTAGCTAGTGAAATGGCAAAGAAAAGAAAGTTTTGAGAATTTAGAGATGAACGGACAGACTAATTTGCATTTATAATCACTCCAGCTGGTTTCCCGATTTGTTTAATCTGCAACGAGAAACTGTCAAACACCAAAAAGCTGAACGCTGAGAGACACATTTTGCGGAAAATATCCTGCTGGAGGTGTGAGAAAAAGCGGCTACAGCTGAGCTAAAGCTCAAAGCAGAGCAGTCTGTGTTTTTGTTTATATCACATTACATTATATTAAATTTTATCATATTTTTTAGCCAGTATGAGGACATTAGCACAAACTGAGACACATTTACCGACAAGATGGTAGATCATTACTTGTTACAACACATAAAATGTTATGGTGGTTTGATTTTTGTTGAAATGGTTCTCCTTAACATTAGAAGGCTGACCCCTGGCCTAGACAGACAGAGGCCTCCAAAAACCTGCTTAGGGTCCCAAAAAAAGGCTAGAAAAGAGGAAAAGAGGGGGTGTTGATGAGGAAAGTGACTCTAGCAGGCATAGAGGTCCACAGCTCTACTGCACTACTGTTTACTCTGGGTGTTCTGATGTATGACGCAGTATGACGTTGTGTGCACTGTGGGCTCAGACCCGACTCACCCAGTACAGAACATCAGTCCAGCCCTCCATGGTGATGCACTGAAACACTGTCAGCATGGCAAATGCAAAGTTATCAAAGTTCGTGATGCCATCATTCGGGCCCTCCCATCCCAGATCGCACTTGGTGATGTTGGGCGGGGTGCAGTGGCGCCCATGGGCAGAGTTCTGGGCGCAGGGTGCAGGCTTCTCCTCAGCTATAGCACCTGAAGGACGACAAGGACAGCCTTATAAAGTCTTCAGTTCAACTACTGTACAAAAATGTTGTGTCTGGTGTTGATTTTAAGGAGCTAGATTTTTGATAATATCAATAAAATTTTATATGGTCATGAATGAAACAGATTCCGTTAGTTTTAGTTAAACAGTGCTGACATTATTGTAAGTGGTCAGCTGTGAACTGTCCCAATATGATCATCAGATTTCTCGAATAAAGAGCAGAAACATCATTATATCATCATGACGATATAAATAATACTGCAGCATGGCAGGAGAGTTTCCCAGCATTCTTTGCAGCTTTGTTGGTTATGGTAAAAAGGGTTCTGCATTATGCTTTATTGCATACAGCTTGTTGTCTTCATGCTAATTATTAATCATTATTATAACTAACTAAGGTAACACTTTATTGTGGGGTACTGTTGGTAAGGCTATATGACACCTACATAAGCTTGTCATGACAACTGACATAACCCTACATAAATGTTTTTTTCCAATAGATGTCGTCTGTCATAAAGGCTACCTTAACTAACTTTGATCAAAATTGGCAAATATTAACTTTACAGCGATTGACACCTGTTGGAATAAGCATGTTTATTTTTAAGCAATAGAACACGAGAGAGAGTGTGTTATTGTGAAATAACATCATAATCATCACAGCCGTGATGTTATTGGCGATAACACACTCCTCGAGTGTTCTATTGCTTTTATACAACAGTTAAATAAATAAAGTAATAAATTAATAAACTGGGCCGTGAACGTGGCGTTTAATATGTTTTAATGTTCGCAGTTCCTTCACCAAATTATAGTTCCTTAATGAGCAGCTTGTTGCTACGTCAGAGTAACGAGCTCCGCCCACTCGCTGCATAGCCGGCAGTTCGTTCTCCAGCTCCTTACACTAAATTCCCAAACTGTCATCACCACTGAGCAGCTTTTCAGTCGGCAGCTGTGACAGAAGAACAGCTAAACAACCTGGAATCAGCCAGAAATGAACCCAACACCATTCGCCAAACGTGTAGTCTGATCTTCAGAGTCTGACCAAATCAGACTGAGCCATAAAACTGCCGCAATATCAAGTTCAGCTCAGTTTTGTCAGTTTTTTCCAGATCAGTATTAATGTTGTTTTGTTCCAGCCAGTCTGTAAAGCATCTTACAGCCCATTTAGTTTGGCGAATGGTGTTGGGTTCATTTCTGGCTGATTCCAGGTTGTTTAGCTGTTCTTCTGTCACAGCTGCCGACTGAAAAGCTGCTCAGTGGTGATGACAGTTTGGGAATTTAGTGTCGTCTCATCTTCAGAGTCTGACCAAATCGGCTGTCGGTCAAATGTGATCATAAAAGTGTCCATTTTCTGTTTGTGGCAAAGTAAGAAGTAAAAACTTTCAAATGTATTGAGCGTCTCCTACAGCTGTCAAAGTCGTTGCTTAGCAACAGCGTCTCAGCGGAGTGATACAGTGTTTGTGAAGAAAATGTGCTGTTGCGGTAAAATAACAGATTAAATAAAAAAAATAAAATAAAACATTAATAAAAAAAACATTAAGACGTGTTTCATTATAAGGATTTTCACCCATACTGACAAGCCAACTGCATGTTATTATCAGCCAACAAATTTCCTAATTTACAACACAGTTACACTTCTCATACTACTGTAACAGATTTATTGATTTTATATACGACTCATAAAGCATAATGATTTATTTTTGCATGATTTGCGAGAACCTTCAGCTTCTTTTACGAGTTGTGTGTGCACTTTTTATAAGAAGGGCACGGTGCTGACCTTTTACTCCATCTCTGAAGAAATAGCATGTGCGGTGCATCTTCCCCATGAAGAGCTCTAGGCCGATGATGGCGTAGATGATGATGACGAAGAGTACGAGCAGGGCGATGTGCAGCAGGGGAACCATGGCTTTAATTATAGAGTTCAACACTACCTGTAAACCTGAAAGCACACAGAAGACAGAGCAGCAGAGTCAATCACAAACACAAACAAATTCAGAGGAACTGTAATAAGAGAGAGAGATTTGACTGGAGTTCATATAACGTCACAATTTTCTTTCTTAAGAACGTGCTGGACGTTCACTGGCACACATAGAGGAAACTGATCAGTTATTAATCTCAGTGTTACTGAGCTCTGCTAAAGCCTGAGTACACTGATAAATCAATGTGATCAGTTATTAATCTCAGTGTTACTGAGCTCTGCTAAAGCCTGAGTACACTGATAAATCAATGTGATCAGTTATTAATCTCAGTGTTACTGAGCTCTGCTAAAGCCTGAGTAGACTGATAAATCAATGTGATCAGTTATTAATCTCAGTGTTACTGAGCTCTGCTAAAGCCTGAGTAGACTGATAAATCAATGTGATCAGTTATTAATCTCAGCGTTACTGAGCTCTGCTAAAGCCTGAGTAGACTGATAAATCAATGTGATCAGTTATTAATCTCAGCGTTACTGAGCTCTGCTAAAGCCTGAGTAGACTGATAAATCAGTGTGATGGTCAGTTATTAATCTCAGTGTTACTGAGCTCTGCTAAAGGAATGATCAAACTAATAATCCTCCTAATAGTGGACATGTTTGCGAGTGATAGGTTTAGTGTCTGTGTTGTGCTGTATTGCTCGGGGGATTGTGAGACCAGCAGTGGACTGAAGTAGACGATTAAATAAAGAGTTTTTGGAAAGTTGTTTAAATGATAAGTGAATTTTTCAAAAAACAGGATAATTACATTAAGAGAACTGACAACCAGTAACAGCGAGGAATAGTATAAATAATGTGCCTTTCCAGGATGTACTGTTAGTGTATTCCAAATTTTTCTGAATATCGCTGTTGTTGGAGGAAAACCTTGTATCTCCATTTTTGACGTTTTTCATTTTTTGACCTAATTTGAAAATGCCTGTTGCCCTTTACATTGTCTGTAAATTTCATGATGAACGGACTAGAAGAAATGACCCAAAATGATGTGGATAAAAGTCTGGTTCCATTGACTTACATTAAAAGTAAAGTATGTTTTTTCCTTCTCCTGTAAAATTAGTTTTTCTTCCGACAACAGCAAAATGCTGCTTTTTATTTATTGTAATGGAACGTATTACTGAATATATTTAGGATGGTGTATTCAGTATTCAGCCATCTCTACTTTCTCAAAATATTTTGTCCAGCCTTGCTCGTTGCCAGTTGCAGTCGTGGATGAAGCCTGGATGGACCAGAACCATGTACACAGACATAAACACTTGCGATCGGACTGAGTGCACTCGCTTTTACACTGAATGTGAGTGTGCATTACTCACTGGGCACTCCAGACACCAATCGTAAAGGTCTGAGCACTCTGAACGCTCGCAGGGCCTTCACATCAAACCCTGCCGCCTTCCCTCCAATCGGCGTCCCTCCATCCCCTTTAGTGGCCTGCTCTAATATAGCGCTGAACAACCTGAGAGGGAGAGAGAGAGAGAGAAAGTGAATGAAGAGAGGGGGGATGATCTTTGCATAATAAGGGAGACATTCTGTTTCCAGCTGTTTAACTTCTGTTATTTTAACCCTTGTAAGTCAGTTATTGTGATAACAAAAGCACGATGTAATCCAGAGTTAACTCTGTCTCACTCACAGCTCAGCAACACAGAAATTCTGTGAGAAAAGTGCAGATTCACCTGGAAAAACTTATTTAAGGTTCACAATCAGACCTTAAAACCACTGTTGGAGCTTTGAGGGAATATTTACACTGTTTGTACCTTGATGAACGAAAAATGTACCTGAACAGAACCTTTATTTCTAACAGTGTATTTGGTATAATCTATGAATTTTCATCACATAATATAATCTGTAAACTGCAAAAATCTTTGCAAGTGAAAACATTTTAAATGTAGTCAATATATCTAATATTTATCATTATGTTGTAGGAATGTTAAGATCAATTAACTTATTTTTAGACATTTATTACTTGTTTTAAGTAATTTTATCTAATGAAAGTGGCAGGTCACTTTACTTGTTTTGAGAAATAATAAAGATAATTTTAAAAAAATAATGCTTAAAATAATAAAATGATCTGCTAATGGAATAAGACACTTTTATAAGACACAATTACTTGAAACAAAAAATTGTCTAGACATAAGATAAATAATCAAGTCTCATAATGAAAAATATTGATATATTAATTACATTTAAGATGTTTTCACTTGCAAATATATCATTTTTTTTACGTTTACAAAACCCTTTTTTAAAAAGGTTCTTAACAGAACCATCTACAGCACATTCTCCACCAATCTAAGGAACACTTTCATGATGCAAAGAACCATAAAATCATGCAAAGGGTTGTTTGACTGTTCATGGTTCCATATAGAACCATTCTCTTTACTAAAGAACCCTTAAAGAACCATCTTTATAAGTGTGTAGCTATTCATAAAATGGGTAAACTATGTTTAGCACCATTTAATCTCTGCTGTATTCCTTTATCGTCAGCTCTGGTGCCGTCATGGCGAAAACTGAGTGGAGTCGAAGAGTCTACTCCATCAATTTAAGTGGGAAAAGTTGGGAGTCAGAGTCGGAAACCCAGAGTCGTGCATCACTAATAAAGACTCAGTCTCGACTCTGACTCTTATAAAGAGACCTGTGAGTATTTCTGGTGTCCTCTAGACTCCTCAGGATTACCCTTAGTTGTCCAGCGTCTCTTTTCATAGGTTTATATCATTTATGACTACAAACCTGGCGAGCAGACGGATGCGTATCACACTAAATCAAAGCATTCGTATCTGTCTCAGTGCTTCCGTCTCTCACTGCCAGCCTCTGACCTGAGAACAATCCTCTCAGCTCAGCAACCAAAACAACAACTTCAAAAGCCGAGCAGCCGGCGCATTAGACACACAGAATTATCAATTAACACAGACGAAACGGCTATTTGAAAGGACTCTCTCTTCAGCATGCACACCTCCCTCTCATTATCCCTCTCTCCCCGGCCACTCTGCGGTTGCGGAGTGGGAGACGTGCGATTAAGGCAGGACATTCAAACCCAATTACTCAGTTTGAGTCTCTGTGACTGTGTTTCTAATAAAGATTCAGGAACTGAGCTCACTCACACCTGAGCTGAAATCTGCCTCTGTAAGATTCTCGCAGGGTCCCTGGAGAAGCCCGTATGCTCGCGTGGCCCCTGAGGGCCTGATCTACCAGGCATGAGCTCCTACAGTACCTGCTGCAGTACACAATACACTGTCAGGCAGATATTTATCAAACTCGGGATGCACAAACCAAACAGCTGCTTACTGAGCTGGCGAAAATCTGCATCTCTGGCTATAAAATACAGCACAACTGGTCTTCAGGCAGAGGCCGTCTTCTGCCTCACTTCCTCATAGAAAATAATGCAGATCAGCAGTGCTGCAGGCCAGATATGCTCATATGTAAAGTTCTAGTGGACATAACGACTCTGTTCGCTATTCATTCTATGGTTCTGTGGTCCACAAGCTTTAAAGAGGGTTGATTTTATCCATCAATGTCTGCATAATTCAGTTGATGAGACGTAGAGAGATTCAGAGTGGTTTGGTATGAAATGGTTCAGATTTCTTTACAGTGGTGGTGATAGGAACCAGGGGTCGCCATGACTACAACACAAATATAGACACATGTCTTCTGAGTTTATGTGGAATGTTGATGATGGAAAAATTGTCATAAATAAATGAATAGAAATAAGTAAAAATAAGTAAATGAGTACAAATAAGTAAACTTAAGACACATACTTTGCACAATGTAAAGTTTACAGGTATGATGTGTGTGTATGGGTGTGTGTGTGTGAGTGAGTGATGGTAGGAATGCATGTTTTATTTTATTTTATATTAGTTTATTATAGTTTTATGTTATTTTATTTGATTTTATTCTTTTTTTTTCATTTTATTTCATTTTATTCACTATATGTAAATGTCTGTCTGATACTGTGCACTGTGAGCTCCTGTAATCAAAACCAACTTCCTTGTATATGTAAGCAAACCTGGCCAATAAAGTTCGATTCTGCTTCTGATTTTGATTCTGATTCTGATTCTGATTCTAATAAGGGGCTATTTTGCCTAAAGAGGCATTAAACACATCAGACACCAGTGGCCGGTTGCACCAGCTCTGCGTAGGTTCAAACATATACCAGTTGTAATGTGAGTGTTTACCAAGTTCAGGTTTATCATTACTAAATCCAAACGAGTCGCACCACAAATGGTTTTAACGTTGAGCTTAGTAGTTACTAAATATTGACACCTCCACCTGAGCAGGTGTACGTTTTGGGGAAACCATCATAAACCACATAGAAAGCATAAAAAAGACCAAAAACATGACATTTTTGGTTAACTAAGCTAAAAACTCCAAACACTATACACTGTGATTTTACTTACAGCTCTAATTTGGTTTAAACTCTGAGCATGAGGCTAAACACCCACAGCTCCAGCTCAGTGAGTCTCAGCAGCTGCACAAACGGCTAAACTAAGGCAGCTGTTGTGTCGGTCAGCCAGAAACCATCATTTAAAAAGCTGCATATTTGGTTTCTCAGTGAAATATTAAAGAATAAACAGACAGCGGCTGTAGGTAATTAGTTCTAGTGGTTCCTGTACACATTGTTCTCTTCCATGCTGGATATTTTTTCCATTGAGAAGCCAGAGCCAACTGCTCCTGCGTTTCCATGGCAGCAGGTTTACTGATCGGTTCTGAACATGTTCTCGTTGTGTTAAAGTGATGTACGCATTAGTTAGTTGTTACTAGTTAAGACTTATGGATTTGTGGTGCAACCAAATTTGGTAAAAGGATAGTTTGAAACTAACTACTGTAACTAAGGACTCAGTAAAGACTTTACGCCCAAACTTAAGTACAAACCTACGCAAACCTGGTGCAACCCAGCCCAGGTTCCCATCACCATCACTGTAAGTTTCTCTAGAACTGAGCATTTCACACCAAACCACTCTGAATGACTCTGTTTACAGCTCAACCATTATGTTATGAAGAAATTTAGAAAAATCAGTGGAATTCCCCTTTAAGTACTTGACAATAGAGTTTGTGTGAATGTTTCTCAAGGTTATGACATCATCGCCGCATTGTCTGATGTATTCAGTAGCTGGCGATGTCAGTGTGACTCTGACTGGCTGCTGCTCCGAACACGATTGAGTCAGTGCATTCAAAACAGTCCTGCAGCGCTGGTTCTGCCCGCTCTGCCGGACTCGCACTGCCCGCACTGATGATTTTAACTTGTTTTAGCAACTGTCAGTATTCAGGGAGCGGAGACAGAGAGATGTGGTCTGACTGCACAAAGTGGGGTGAGGCACGGCCCTGTGGCCGTCTCAGGACGTAAGTGTAAACATGGTCCTGTTGTGACTCAGTATAGTGGACCGGCTGGCTGTATTAGAAGCATCATTTTAAGAAATTGAAATATAGTGCAAAGTGAACCTCTTTTATGTACAGTGTTCCCTGACCCTCCATCTCTTTGTTTTAGAAGGGCCCCTATCCTTAAAGATAAGTCGGTCAGCTTGGAAATACAACGAAGGACACATGGCTGTGTAGACCTAAAGGCAATTTTAGACGTGGTGGGTGAAATCATTGCTCCAAAATAATTAGAGATGATTTGTTTGTGGATTTGTTTTCTGGTAAATCATTCAAACTTGATTCATTTGCTAACTGTAACACTACTTTTGTAGTCTACAGACTTGAATGTGACCGTGGTTGTTTTTATATTGGTCGTATGAAAAGGAGGTTTAGAGATAGACTAAAGAGAGATTGTTACCCACAACCCTAACTATCCTGTGGCCATGCATTATAAGGCAGCTAAACATCCGAGCCCCAGCTCGCTGCGAGCAACGGCCATTGAGGTTGTTCCAGAGTCCATTAGAGGAGGTAACAGATTAAGGCAATTACTTCAGAGGGAGACATTTTGGATTTATACTCTTAAAGCTACAGAGCATCCTGGCTGGAATGAGGATGTTGATTTCTCTCCTTTTCTTTGATTTTTTTTTCCTTTTTCCACCCCCCATTTTCTTCCTGACCATCAGGTGGCAGAAGCTTGTGTATATATGTATATATAAATACACCGATCAGGCATAACATTATGACCACCTCCTTGTTTCTACGCTCATTGGCCTTTTTATCAGCTCCACTTACTATATAGGTGCACTTTGTAGTTCTACAGTTACAGACTGTAGTCCATCTGTTTCTCTGATACTTTGTTATCCCCTTTTTACCCTGTTCTTCTGTGGTCAGGACCCCCATGGACCCTCACAGAGCAGGTACTATTTGGGTGGTGGATCATTCTCAGCACTGCAGTAACACTGACATGGTGGTGGTGTGTTAGTGTGTGTTGTGCTGGTGCGAGTGGATCAGACACAGCCGTGCTACTGGAGTTCTTAAACACTGTGTCCACTCACTGTCCACTCTATTAGACACTCCTACCTTGTCAGTCCACCTTGTAGATGTAAAGTC